TTATTAATTACTTAATGACTTAATTATTAAATACTTAATGATTAATTATTAAATACTTAATGATTAATTATTTTTATCAGTTTAATTTCTGATACGATTTCCATACAGGGGAATTCAGATATTAAACTAATTTTTGGAAAATCGGACAGGTAGATGTCCGATTTTCACTTATTCGGACAGAAATTGTCCGAATAAATGAAAATTGACCAAAATTCACCGTCATTTTGCCATTTGGGTTTGAGATCCTTTAAATTCATTTAAATGCACCATTTTATATGAATGGCCAAAAGTTGCAGATTCTGCTCGGTTTCTGCTACCAATCTGCCGTCAAATCATGTTAGCAGATCCTGCTCGGTTTCTGCTGCCAATCTGCTCTCAGATTCTGTGAGCAGGCTCTGCTGGCAGATCATTAGCCTAATGCGGACATAACACATGCCAAATTGCTAGCAAGAGCTGAGGAAATATGTTGCCCATCTGCTGGCATATTGCGCGCATTTTGCTTACTGGGTATGTACCTAATAACTGACTTAAGATACGAGAATATTCTGATGCATAATTCTGAAGATTTATGATAAATAACAAAAAATACAATACCGTATGACATACTTTCCTATATATATACTTCAACCTTTTGATAGAAGGGGTAACAAAACTACGCAGAAAACGCATTGCAAGAAAAGCATTATTGATAGAAAAGAAATAAAATGAAGTTACAAATCGCTTCCCGGACGAACGAACATATGGAGATTGCTACTTTTTTTCGTTATAAGGCTACTTTTTTACGTTATAAGGTTAATGTTCGCGACGTCAAGATATAATAACATTATAAGGTTAATGTTATCTTTGAATCTGCTGCAGAAAATATATTTGGTCCTATCGAGTAAGTAGATTGATATTTTGTATATATATCTGCTTATATATGTTTATTTATTGTTTTATAAGTATATTATTTCTTGATTATATCTGAATATTGTCTCATACGGTCTTATACCGTACCAACTTTGCTAAACAGCGTAACATATTGGGTTATAGAGATTTGGCAGTAACAGACAGTAAGTACAATATAGTAGCGCATATAAAACATTCAGTAGCACATATAAAACCAGGTTTTTAGAGGAAAATCATTTTTTAGTTTTTTATTTTGTATGAAAATTATTTTTTAAGAAAAAATTTCTTTTAAAGTTATTTTTTAGTGATAAATAATACCCTTTTTCTGCGTACAAGTTGGGATTTTTTTATATACTTGGTGTATTTTTTTTACCTTTGTTAGACTTTCTGCAAAACTTCCGAAAAGTTGACATGTTGTTTTTATATGGAAAAGCAGAAAATGAATCTAAACTGCCCAAACATTTAACATCATCAGTTAGATGAAGAACTCCGTGGACATTATAAAAATAAAATGTAATACTATATAGATGTTGACATTGCAGAACAAATTTCTAAAGAGCACATTCTGCAAAACGTAAGTACTGCGTAAGACTACTGGAGACGTGGACGCTAAGATTCTTATAGCTGTATGTAAAAATAAAAAATGTTTATACACTCTGTCGTCTAATAAATCGTGTAATATAGCTGGACTGGTATACAATAAAAATTGACGTAGTTCTGTGACTTTATATTTGGAATATAGTTTGAGAGATTTGGGACGCCTTGCGAAATCTGAAGGACAATACTCTTGTAGACTTAATATTTTTGTATTTATAACTATAATAGCTCTTCCAGATAGTTTCGTCTCACGTGAAAATTTTCCTTGTACCCACGCTTGAAACAACTTTTTCATAACACCTATACAGACTAAGTGCATGTACTCAAATGGAACCTGTGACACCATTCCCATGGGTAATCGTGAAAGTGGACTTCCACCATCTTTGTGGTGAGCGTCATCAAAACGTCTGATGTATTCATCATCCGTTCGAAGAGGATGGTTAATACCATTAAAGATAAAATAATTAGTATTAACATGTATTCCTGATACTTTACATTTGGAACATGGACGTTCAGCCATATGGCCACGATGATGTAATATAAAGGCGCGAACTGGCGCATCTGCTATGAAACATCTAAGCTCTAAGTGGCACTCTTTGGCCAAGGAAATATATTCCGCCATTCGACATAATTCGTTGTACGTCTGTAACAAATTTTTCAAAGAACAAATTAGGATCGTATGGTTTGTGTGAACCTTTGTAAATGCCCACAATTATTGGTAGTGCATTTTGTACATTAGCAATTCGACACTGAATAAGCCAAATATGAATGGTACTTTGTTTATCTAAATTACATCCATCTGTACTAAAATCTAAGACTACCTTGTTAACTGATGTACAAGATATATTATTAGACAAACTGTCAACAACTGCGACTTCCAGATCAAAATGCAAATATTCCCCTGGTGGTACCGCGCATATATCAAGACAACTGCGCGTTGTATCGAGAAGTGTCCTAACATCTTTCGG